AAAAAATTTTACCAACTACACATCCAATAGAGGTCAAATATCTAAAATATATAAAGCTAAAATAAAACAAAACAAAACAACAACAACAAAGAAATCTGGATGTCAAGAAAAAAATTAAAAAGTGGGATCCACATCTAAACAGAGAATTCTCAAAAGAGGAAACTCAAATGGTTGAGAAGCACTTTTTAAGAATGTTCAACATCCTCAGTTATCAGGAAAATGCAAATCTGAACTACTTTGGCATTTCATTTTATGGCAGTCAAAAATGGCCAAAATCAATAAAACAAATGATGTCATGCTGGCAAAGATAATAGAGTATGGGGAACCCTCATACATTTCTGATAGGAGTGCAATCTTGTACAGCTACTACGGAATCAGTGTGGATGAAGCTAGAAAAAAATTATCTTTTTTGTTAAAGATTTATTTATTTATTACATATACACCAGATTGAATTGTAGATGGCTGTCAGCCACCATGTGGTTGCTGGAAATTGAACTCAAGACCTCTGGAAGAGCAGTCAGTGCTCTTAACCTCTGAGCCATCTCTCCAGCCCCCGAAAAAAAATTATCTTAAGTGAGGTAATGCAGGCTCAGAGCATAATATGGTATATATATTCACTTATATGTGGATGCTATCTGTTAAGTCTTCGATGAACAAGGTACAATCCATATAACCACAGAGGTGAGGTACAGAGTAAGGAAATGGGGCGGGGGATCATTCTCCCTAGGAAGGGGAAATCAAATAGATAGTTAAGTATGGATGGGGTGAGGGGCAGGAATAGATCAAATGGGGAAGGAGAGGGAGGAGAGAATGAGGAAGACAGTAAGGTGATGGACAGCCGAAACTATGGACCATTTGAGGGGACATGTAGAAAGTTGATACAGTAGACTCTTCCTAAAATACATACATATATGGAGGTGATCTAAATGAAATCACCAGATAATGGGTGTCACAGAGCCCCAACTGGAGACCTCCCATCACTAAATGAAGCTTTCAGTCCCAGCAGTGGGTTATAGGTAATCAAGTTGTTGGCCAAAGGGGCCCTATGGGAGTACCCAAACAACCCAGGCTGCTGTCACGACTATTGATTGCTCTCCATAAACTGGCGGTTAGGTTCTGTGGCTGAAGACAACATCTACACAAAACATTGAACACAGGGGAATCCAGCTAATGCCTACCTATAGTCTTCAGCCCTGCGAACTAGCGTTCAAGGTAAGTCGGAAGGCACTCCGCATACAACCAAAGGAGAAAGGTGAACACCAACCCAGCTACAAATGCTTCAACCAACAACGATGACCTGCCTATAAGCTGCACTACTGCAACAGTGTCTGTCATAAAGCTTATGGTAGTAACCAACTGATTTGATTTAAGGCACACTCCATGCTCAACACTGCTCAAGTCAAGGACAGGAGACCAGACAGGCCAGGGACCTAGGGGAAAAGTAAATACCACTGTTCTGCTAAAGGAATGTAAGTCATAAAATGGTTCCTAATGACATCACGCTACACTCATAAATCAATTTCTGCCCAGCAGTCATCAGTGTAGCTTCCTCCTGCAGTAGATAGGAACAGAGACCCTCATCTGGACAATATTCAGAAAGTTAGAGGCCTTGTAATACTCAGTCTCCATCAAATCCTTCCTCTCCCAGCTCAGGAAATCTTGGGGGAAAACGACCAGAAAGATTATTAAGTGGGAGATGCAGACCCCAGAAAATCCCTCATCTGAAGCCCCCCCCCAGTCCCCAAATGGCTTGGCTTGGATCCCCGACCCAGTGAAAAAAACACACACTGGATTTGGGACCCGAGCCAGAAGAAGAGTACTTTATTACTAAACCTAGAGCCAGGGAAAAGTACCATAGCTCTTGAACTAGTGCCAAAAGAATACACTTGACTCCTAGAATTAGGAAAAGTAAAAGAAATTTGCCCAGGCCCTAAAATTGGAGCCTAAGATCTGAAAAGAACCATAGAAAGAAACACAGTTTGGCCCTGAAATTGGAGCCATCTCTGCCCCTGACACAAAACCAGCCAATCCCTGAGCTGGAAACACTGGCCAATCCCGAGCCAGAATTCCCACAGGGCAGCCAATCACAAGCCTTTGAGTTTGGGAATTCCCCTTACCCATAGTGGGACAGCCAATCACAAACCAGAAGGCTTGGAATTTCCCCCAAATCTATAAAAACAAAAAACAAAAAACAAAAAACCCTCCCCTCCAACCCTCAGTGTCTCTCCTGCTCTACTCCTGTTGCAGCAGCACAGAGGGACTCGAGTTAACCCAAAAATAAAGACTCTTGTTTTTGCATCAGAGTTGGTCTCTTGGTGGTGATTTTTGGTTCCAGGCTTTGGGCATAACATTAACAACACAGGGGGAAAAGTACACTAAGGAATCGAGGCCCTCTAAAAGCAGCTGGACTGACATACACGAGCTCACAGAGACCGTGGCAGCAGCAAGCACGGGGGCCCGAATGGGTCTGTGCCAGATGAGGTCTCAGCCTCGGAAGAGAAGTGAAGGCAAGTCCCCATTCTTAACCCAGAAGCTATTTCCAACTGACAGCCACTGGCCAATGAAATTCGGTTCTTTCCTACAGAGCCTCACTGGGAATACAAACTGCTCTTAAGTCATGGCCCAGGCCAAGCAGTAGATGACCAACATGAAATGAACTGCACGGCATCTTTGGAGTTTCTTTGTATCCTAAGGTTTTGATAAGGATTTTCTTTAACCTTACATGTATAATTGCGGCTTCCGATTTTGTGTTTTTAGGGGATTCCCGTGCGTGCAAACCTGTGTGCTTCTGCTTCTACATGTTTGTGTCTCATGCCGTTTCTTTGGCTCTTTTTCTTGTTTGTCTCCACCTTATTATATGGATGCCTGTTCATTTTCTAAGGAGAGATAGGAAGAGTGTGGATTCCAGTGGGAGGGAAGGTGAGGGGAATCTGGGAAGGGGCTGGGGGAGGGGAAACATATCAGGAAACATATCATTATAAGGAAAATCTGCTTTCAACAAAAGAAAGAAAAATATTATGAAAGCCTTGAGAAAAACAACAACAGCAGCAGCAACAACAACAACAAAAAACGCAATAAAACTTATTTTGAAATGATTTCAAAATTACAGAAGGGTTTACAAGAGCACGGGAAAGAACTATACCTAGTCTCGGCCACCTGTTGTTGGTTTTTACTGTTTGAGTTTTGTCTTCCCCCACCATACTCTATATTCACGGAGAAAAATCATTGGAAGTATGTTTCTGGTACACAGATAGCGTTTAGGTTTCTTTTTCTTTTTGAAGCCTTTGTCTCTAATCTGCACACGTCCTCAATTTATCTTTTATTGCATGATACTGGTTCTATTTGTAAGAAGAGTTCAGGGCCACATGGGTGGTTCTCATTTGTGAGCTCAGGACTCGGGAAGCAGAAACAACAGAATTGTGCTAGTCTGCATAGCGAGTTCCTGGTTAGCCAAGACTATACAGTGAGACTTTGACTCCAAAACAGCAAAACAAAACAGAAAGTAACAGACAGACAGGCAGATGAGTAAACAGACTGTCCTGGCATTTGCTTTGTAGATAGCAGCTTATGTCATGTTTTCCCTCAGGATTTTATCTGGTTATGCATTTTGACAGAATATTTTGAGAAGATAGTCTTGTCTTACTCTGTCATTAGTGATGCCCACCAGATTTGCTCACCATAAAGTTACTATGTTTCCAGTTTTAGTTCAGCTCAGGGCTGCTTACTTTTCTCTTTTTAAGAATTACCTTGCCAGCCGGGCGTTGGTGACGCACACCTTTAATCTCAGCACTTGGGAGGCAGAGGCAGGTAGATCTTTGTGAGTTCGAGGCCAGCCTGTTCTACAGAGCTAGTTCCAGGACAGCCTCCAAAACAATGCAGAGAAACCCTGTCTCGAAAAACCAAAAAAAAAAAAAAAAATTACCTTGCCAGGTGGTGGTGGCACACGCCTTTAATCCCAGCACCCGGGAGGCAGAGGCAGGCAGATCTCCGTGAGTTCGAGGCCAGGCTGGACCAACAACCTCCAAAACAATACAGAGAAACCCTGTCTCGTAAAAACAAACAAAAAAAAAAAAAAAGAATTACCTGTCCTACAGGTAACTGGTATTTCCTGACCCATAGCTTCTTAGGTCCGTCTTTACTCCAACCATCCCAAGCTAGGTGGGAAGTAACGCCACTGGTTTTGGAGGATTTAGAACACATCTTACTATCTTTAGGAGAGCATGGCAGAATGTAACAAGACCCATCACCATGAGAAAAAAAAGATTATAGAGGCAGAGGAAAAAGCATTTGATGATACAACGTTGAAGATTATTTTTCTGCCCACCTGAAAACATATCAAAGTGGTATTGTCATTTCAAATATTTTTTTATTTGGATTATTCATTTTATGTGTATTAGTCTTTTGCCTGCCTGGGTGTATGTGCACTAAGTGCTTGCCTGGTATCTAAGGAAGTCAGAAGTTGGTATCTAATTCCCTGGAACTAGCCACCTCTCCCGACTCCATCAGAGTTCTACTTAATCCTATGACATCTAACTAGAACCACCACTATATTCCTTAGTTTGAAGAAGAGGAGCGTGTGGGAGTTTTAGCATTTGATCTGCAATATGGAGCTGAACTGGAATCACTTCCTCATCCTTCCTGACACCACCGTAGCGTTTTCCTGCAAAGCAATGAGCCAGGCTTTCTTGTTACTCTCACACCGCTTTTAGACAGTATCTGCTGCCGGTCGTAAACCGTGATGAAACTTCCCAAGAGATCCTGTGGTTCAAATCGCCTGACCAGTTGTGGGATGCACGCAAAGCAGTTTAGACACATTTGCTTCTTGCCGTAATAAAGACATGTTTGAAGGGTACTGCCAAGGACAGGAGAGTAAGTGCCTTGTGGGGTATGAATGCTAAACATTACCCTAGTGAGTAAAGCAACCCCAGCCGAGCTGAACCGGAAGTTACAGCAGATAACGTCACTCTTATCGCCGGTAATTACTGGCCTTACATCTTTAATACCTGCCTGCTACAGAGTAAAATCTAGGTGGCAATTTAAGTACGACTTCATGGCCGGCATCAGAGAGGAAAAGAGCTGAGCAAATACACTGATTTGCTTTTGCACACTTATGAGGAAAAATGTAAGTAGAGGTGATATTCACAGGCTAAACTTCAAGGAGTAATGATTTAATTTTGGCCTCCTTTGGGAATCCTCTCTTACAGATATTCCTATGGCCAGCGGAGGATTAACAATCCTACTGGAGGAGATGGGTGACGGTGGCATCAGCCATTGTGGGAGGATTGAAGAACCTTCCAAACTCTTGGCTGTTCATAACCCCATCATTCAGCCGTTGCTCTGTTGGGAGCAGTAAGGGTCGGGCAGCCCGTAAAAATGGGAGGAGGTAGTATTCAATAAATTCTCTACTTACTAGCGTGGGCTAACATGAACTGTATAACTTCACAGCATCTGCTCTTGGAGCGGGGGTGGGGGGGGGCTTGCTTTAGTTAAGTCATTCTTTCTGCAAGAGCTCCACCAAGTGGTCATCAATTTGGGAAGAAAAGTCACAGAAAATCATTCCAAGGCCCCAAGAAAGTCTGACAGAAGGGAAGACCAGTATGATGCACGATGACCAGCACATCCTCCGTCCTTAGACTCGGCACATCTGCTTTTCTTTATGCCTGTTTTTAGAGACCTCCTTGTCCCTACTTTAACCATGCCTGCACTTTGACCCCATGGCTCCGAGGTTCTGAATCCTCTGTTCTCTCTTAATCACTTAGTTCCTTTCTGCATTTCATTTTACCCTGTGCTACTCCAGATGCTGGTGTCCTCTACCTAAATCATGTTTTTAATACCACTCTCCACAATTAGTGGATCCCCTCCCCTCAAGCTGAGCACTTCAGAGTTAAACATTATATAAGTTTGGTGTGGTGTGTGCCTTTTAGCCCAGCACTTGGGAGTCAGAGGCAGGAGGATCTGAGTTTGAGGCCAAGCCTGGTCTACAGAGTGAGTTCCGGGACAGGCTCCAAAGCTACACAGAGAAGCCCTGTCTCAACAAACAAACAAAACAAAAAAAAAAGGAAGGAAGGAAGGAAGAAAGAAAGAAAGAAAGGAAGGAAGGAAGAAGGAAGGAAGGAAGGAAAGAAGGAAAAGAAACATATAGCTGTGCAATTGATGCAACTAAACAGTTGGTGTCTGAATGGTCTGGGTTCTCTGTTACTGTCTGCGGATGCTGACCAGTTGACAGTGGAAATATTAAGTGCTCGCCTCTGTTCTCAAAGTGAACTCTTACACTCAACCAAGAACTGTTCTGCCCATTTCACTAAGAAGCCAAGGGCTTGGAGATAAGCCACACCTAGCACCTTGTACTCATTAGAGTAGTCTCTGGCACTTCTGCTTCCTGGTGAAAGGGGTCCCTAACTTGCCTACTTTCCCAACCTATAGAGAAGATAGAATTTAATGTCCTTGTCTGTGCAATGATTTTGCTGGACCATTCACACACACTCACCTCTTCTATCTGTCTTTTTGCCTTACTTTTGTTGTTGTTACTCTCTTATAGCCATGACAGTCTAGAGCTCACTATATAGCTGAGGTTGACTTTGAACACCTGCTGTTCCTGCCTTCACCTACCAAGGACTGATTTAGAGATGTGTTTGAACAATGTTGGTCTTCTCAGGGCTCTGAATTTCTTCTGAGACCACGGTTTCAACTTCTGCCGCTGTTACATCGTAAGTTACACTGCCTGGTGGTCCTTCTTCTGAGTTTTAGGTAGAATTTTACACTTGAACTTTCAATAAACTCAACGTTTATGGCATTGCCATTTTATTGTGGGTGTCCGACTCCCAGGACCTGGAATTACAGACAGTTGGGATCTGCCATGTAGGTGCTGGGAATTGAACCGGGGTCCTCTGGAAGGACACTCAGTGCTCTTAACCTCTGAGTCATCTCTCCAGCCCCTTTAAATGCATTTTTTAATGAATGGCATATCTCTTATTCCTCTGAAAGTCTTCCTGGGTTGTTCTTGTTTATCCATAAAAGTAAACAAGTCATTGCCCTTGCAGCGTCTGCTTCCCAGATATGTCTTGCTCTCCTAAGCTTGTAGCCCCCGCCCCATTCCCAACACTGCCACATCCCGGGATACTAGACATTAGAACCAGAACCTTGTGCACACACACGCGTAAGTGCACATGTGCTTTGGCACACTTGTAAAAGTCACAGGTAAATTCTCTCCTTCTGTCTTATGGGTCCTGGGTACCAAGCTTGGGTGGTCAGGGCTAACAGCAAGCTCTTTTGTCTTCTGAGCCTTCTTGTTGGCCCCATCCTCGGGGCTTTTAATTTTATCTTAAGACAGGGCCTCACTGACTTGCCCAATCTGGCTTCAAATTTGGGATCCTGTCTTAACCTCCCGAGGACCTGGGATCACAGAGCAACCTATGAAGAACAGCTGGTAACATTTTTTTTTCTTCATTGCTCACCTAGACTTCCAACATTAATCATCTCAAAATTAGGTTTCATTCCCTATCATGACTCTGGCTGTTTGAGTGGTTTTTCTTTTCTTGTCTCCCCTCTCCCCTAATTTTGGTGTTACGAGACAAAGTTTCACTATACGGAAAGAATTCCCTGTGTGCCTACGTCTGCCCCCGTGACTTTTAGTCTCTGTAGTTGAGGGATGACAGTCTCAGCCACAGTGATTCTCCCACAGGCTACCTGGTCTGCAGGCTGTCTGTCAGGGTAAGGTCAAAGCTTACTGTAGACCTTCCACAATGGGCAAAGAGTTGCTGACAACTTCAGTGCTGTAACCCAGGACTGCTTCCAGCGGAAGGGTCAGAGCTGGTGTGCAAGGTTGCCCAAATGTCAACATTTTGACGGCACTATCAAACAAGCAGACTCCTGTCCTGGCCCTTAATTTATTGAGTTGGAACTTCCAGGAATAAGTCTTATCTGAAATGAGTTTATGACGAGGCTGATTTTGGCAATGCAGCTCTATTTAAACTTCATTCCCTCTCCCACCTGTCCTCCAGGATTTTAGTGTTGCTCAATAGGTGACTGTCATTCTTAGATGTCCTTTCTCTGCACCTAGGCCTACCTCCGTCATAAACCAGCTCACAGAAAGCATCATTTAACTGATTTGCCCTTTTACAATGGTTCAGAAAACTTGGTTATTTGTATTTGTTCTGCTGCTCCTTCAGAAGCAAATAGGCATTTGACATAAATTGCCTTGATGAAGAAAAAAACAACAACAACAACACTGATTTTGAAATGCTTTTGTTGCTCAGAGGTTTTCTCTGTCGCCTTACCTCTAATGGGAAGCAAAAGATGAAAACTGTTCAACCACTAAAAACATCCTAATTACCACGACTCCTTTAAAATCATATAAAGGAAAAATATTTGTTGTTTGTTTTAAGTGTGGCTGGAACTTCCCATGTAGCCACAGGCTAACCTTGAATCCACATTCCTGATCCCTCAATTTTTACTTCTGGGATTAAAGAGGTACAATACCATAAAAAGAGAGAGAGAGTGAGACAGACAGACAGACAGACAGAGACAGACAGACAAAGAGAAGAGAATTATATGTTGGTAGAGGAAAAATAGGCTGAGGAAAAATTTATAATGTGCTGGTTTTCCTTTGAAAGAAAATGAGGTTTAACTTTGGCTTCTAGCTCCAGGGACACAGTCTCTTGTGGTGAAAGGCACAGGAGGCAAAGGCCATCCTTAATCCACCACTCAAGAAACAGAGAGAAAACAGAGGAAAAGAATGCTTGCCTTTTTTTTTTTAAATATAGCCTGTTTGGGTTTTTGTTTTTGTTTTTTGGTTTTGTTCATTTGTTTTGTTTATGGAGACAGGGTCTAACTACGTAACCAGGCAGGCCTTAGCCCTGCACGGATGCGTCAGCCTCTGCCTCCCTAGTGCTGAGATTGTAGTAAACATTAGAAACTTGGATGATAAGTAACATAATCTTTGGCTCACAGAAGAAAGAGTGTTTTGTTTTTTTCCCCCGATTTTCTCCAGATTTATGAATCTTACAATTAGGAATACTATAACAAGGGACGGCTTCCCCGGTAAAGGTGCTTGCTACCAAGCCTGAAGGCTCAACTCTAGCCTCCAGAATTCACACGGTGGAAAGAGAGAACTGACCTCCAGTGCCTGTCGCATCACACGCTGACATGTCTTCTCTCTTTCGCACAGACATGCAAGGCCAATAAAGACATGTGAACTAAAAATACGAGGCAAAGTGTATTAACAGTCCCTTACTTAGGCTACTGGGATGAGTGTAACTTGCACACACATGCTTACATTCACACTTATACATACAACGAGAAGAGAAGTATTTCTTCTTTTTTTTTTTTTCAGAATGGCAAAAACAATGTAGTGAAAATGAAGTATTACCTGATCAGGAAGGCTCAGAAGAAAAGTCAGATAATTTCCCACTAATTACAGCAAAGCAATAAATACATCTGGAAGGTTTTCAGCCTTTGTAGTTGTAGAGGATAGGACTCAGCCAGGGAGAGAGAAATGCCCCCAGGATGATTTGTTTTATTTATTTTTCTTTCTTTCCCTTTTTTTTTCTTTTTGTGGTTTTTCAAGACAGGGTTTTTCTGTGTAGCCCTGGCTGTCCTGAAACTCAACTCTGTAGACCACAGAACTTAAGAGTTCTTGAATTCACAGAGATCTGCCTGCCTCTGTCTGCCTCCTGAGTGCTGTGATAAAAGGCATGTACACCTGGTTTGAATTTGTTTTTAAGGGAAATACTGGGCAGGGACTTGGCATTCCTGAGAATTATAAACTAGTTAAATACCAGGTATCTGTGTTGAGAGTAATTTAGTAAGACTGTAGTTGCTTGGTGGTAGTGGTGCATGCCTTTAATATCAGCACTCAGGAGGCAGAGGCAGGTGGATCTTTGTGAGTTGGAGGGCCAACCTGGTCTACAAAAACAAGTTCCAGGACAGGCACCAAAGACAGAGAAACCCTGTCTTGAAAAAAAAAAAAAAAAAAAAAAGACTGTAGTTGACACTACCAGCCACCAAAAGGAAAAGTCTACTGAAGTTGATTCAGAGTTTTAAAACAAAGATCCAGAGAAACCCTGTCTCTAAAAACAAAAACAACAAAAATTAAAGGTAAAAGAAGGATTCAAACTGCTGCTATCAACTTTAAACCTGGTGACATTCGAGAACTTTACGGTTATAGTCAAATGATTGTGTGCGCTACAATTTGTGTTGAAATCCTAACTTCCACAGACATGCTATGAAGACATGGGACTCCTAGGAGGCAATTATACCGTGACAGGAGATCCTTCATGAATGACATTAGTGAACTCACAGAGACCTTAGAGAAGACGTAAGGTTGTCTGGGAGCTCAAAGCAATCCTCCTGCCTCAGTTTCTGGAGTGCTGCTACTAAAGGCATGAGCCACCGCGCTCAGGTTGTACCTTCTTCAGAAATTCTAGAGGTACTTGACATAAGTTTAGAAGTAAAGCTACTATCCTATGGCGTCTATAATCTGGTATAAAAGACTCTTCTCCTTTATATGACCATGTATTCATTGCATATTTCAGGATGACATTAAATAAACAACTCCCGATGAAGCTAAAATATTTGATATTTGGACTTTTTTTTAAAGTAGTAGGTATGTTACATGAAATAGATTTTTATTTTCATTTAAGTTACACAAGGTCATTTCTGAATTAAAAATAAGCTAGAATACATGCTGCTTACCTGTGCAAATCACTTACCTGTGCAAATCACTCCATGCCTGAGGCTTAGTAGTAGGAAATACTTGAACCCACAGGGTCGTCTTTTTTTTTTTCAGGGTTGTCTTGATAAGCTGTGTCCAGGAATCTTTTTTTTTAATTTAAATTTAAATTAAAAACAAGGTTGCTTCACAAGTCAGTTCCAGGTCCCTCTCCGTTTTCCTCCCCTTCTCCCGTGCCCTCCCTATGTCCAGGAATCTTAAAATAAATTACTGCTTGGCCAGAAAGCTCTGGCATTTGACCTTTGATTTTAAAAATGTGGTGCTTGCTCTGTTAGAGTGTCAGGCCTGGGGATCTAATGCCAGGCAGCTTCTTGGTCCTTCCTGTTCTCACCACAAAAGCTGAGACTTGCTCTGGCAAGCTTCAGTACCAGGAAGGTTGTTTTAGCAGTGAACCTGAGACAGTGATTTTTGTAAGAGGAAACCAAAGTATTAAAAAAATCCTTTGCACCTGGCGTTGGTGGTGCACGCCTTTAATCCCAGCACTCGGGAGGCAGAAGCAGGTGAATCTCTATGAGTTCGAGACCTGTAGCCTCGTCTACAAGAGCTAGTTGCGGGACAGCCTCCAAAGCCACAGAGAAGCCCTGTCTCAAAAAAAAAAAAAATCCTTTGCTTTTCCCTGTGGAAGGAATTATAAGGTTCATGATTAAATTCAAAGAAGAAGCATAAATACATTTTCTATAGTAAAAAAAAAAAAAGATGCCAAGAGTCTATTCTAGGGAGGGTGTTTGTTTTGTTTTGTTGTTTTAAATAAATAGTCAAAGGGACTGGGTTAGAGTTTGGTTTGAAATACTTATTCAGATACACTTTTGTATGCAAGACTAAGTAAGACAACAGTAATTGTTTTCTGAGAGATCTTTTAAGTTAGAGATAGACAGAAGTTTTGTGGTCTTGAGTTTTGTCTCTATGTAACGTGAACTTTATGATAATTGTGTCTGACCAGTGCTAAAATCTTGTACTTGGTACGGTGATTATACGTGTGTAGGCCTGAAATGGCTGCCTGTGGGATTCCGTTAGCCTACTGCAGACTGACATTAGCAAGGCTGCTCCCTCATAGTGGGTTTTCTGCGGTAGTAAAGGTGGCTCCCAACGTCAAATAATTAGATTCAGGTGGAGACTGCAGTCTGTCTCCTCACAGCTTAAGTATGGATGATCTGTTAGGGGGGAAAGAAACAAAGCGAGCTCCAGACAGAATGCGGAAACTCGAGGGACATTGGTTAGTGTGATGGCACCAGCAGGCCTCACCGCTTGTCTCTTTTTTCCTAGTGAAGTTTAGCTTTCTGGGTCATTCGGCTTGAGGAGAAGGTGCACACAAGTCAGACATGGGACCACAGCAACAGAATTCAGCCGCAGAAGTGTCAGCATTTGTAGTAAATTTACCTTCATTGAACATGCCGTTTTGTTCACACAAAGTATTTACTAAGACCCGGTAGGTACATCAATGAATACACGCTTCGGTGACTAAGATGGAGGTGACTGAAGCTGGAAGAATAGTCTTCCAAATGTCAGCTCTGCCTATAGTGTAAAGGTAAACACTAATTCTTTTATCCGTATCACACTGACTCTATATAGTCTTGGCTGACCTGGAATTTGCTATGTAGACCAGGCTCATCTCAAATTCAGACATTGCCTGCCCCTTCTAAGAGCTGAGGTCAAATGTATGTGCTACTATGCTTGACCAAAATGAAACTTTAAAGCTAACAAAATATTGACTAATCTCAGAACATACCCAACCCATATTTAATTTTTTTTTGTATTATCCCTTTTTGGTCTAACAAAATCAAAGTGCAAGCATCTATATGTGTTTCTTGTGCTTTTTCTTTGGCTCTTTTTCCCATTTGTCTGTTTTTGTCCTATGTTTGTTTTTATTTTATGCTATTACTTTTAGATGCCTGTTTGTATTTCTATGAGGGAAAGAAAGGTTGTGGATTTCGGTGGGGAGGACCCAGAATCAGCTGGGAAAAAGGAAAATGTAATCAGAATATATCGCATGAAAAAAATCTATTTTCAATAATTTTTTTTAAAGATACAGTCTGAAAAAAAAGGTCTTGTTAAATCTGTCACGTCTCTTCCGTCCTTTAAGAGCACTGTCCAGGCTGACACCCTCTCGGGTGCTGTGTTGGGTGATGTCAGAATTAAAATCACAGGCGGTGTGCATTTTACAAAAGTGCAAAGCAGTAGCTTTTGTCTCGCCAACAGTGGGAGCCAATGGTGGGGTTAAGAGGGGAAAGGTCTCACTGTCTCACTGTCCCACTTTTGAGTGATAAATCGCAGTCTGTGGTCCGTGTGCTACGGCCGGTACTCCACGAACACCTCAACCACCAACTGTTGTTTAAAGGTTTTAAACATCTATTGATAACAACTGGCTGGATCTGTAATCTCACCAAGGCTGGCCTAACAGTTGTGATGATTCCTTGTTTCATAGAAAACTACCATGTGTATGGCAAGCAGATGGTTTTCTTTTCAAACAACTTGGGACTTGGTGATGGAGAGCTAGAGGATCCAAGTTCAATTTTCAACACCCGAGTAGGGTCTAACAACCTGGCTAACTCCAGTTCCAAGGGAATCTGATGGCGTCTCTGTCCTCCGTAGTGCAGGCAGACATGCAGGCACAACACCCATAAACATAAAGAGAAATAAGTAAATCTCAAAAGTAACTCTAAAAATAAAAAATAAATCATGTTTTACTTATTTGTGTTGGAGACAGGCAGGTTTCTCCTTCCACCATATGGGTCCCAGCGGTTGAACTCAGAACTTTAGGGTTGGTACATTCATTTAAATGTCTCACATCGCTGGGCGTTGGTGTCGCATGCCTTTAATCCCAGCACTCGGGAGGCAGAGGCAGGCGGATCTCTGTGAGTTCGAGGCCAGCCTGGACTACAGAGCGAGTTCCAGGACAGCCTCCAAAGCCACAGAGAAACCCTGTCTCGAAAAACCAAAATAAATAAATCAATAAATGTCTCACATCTGGCAGGCCCAAGTGTTCTCTCTTTTTCTTTCTTTTTTTTTTTTTGTGTGTGGGGGGGTGGGGTGGGAGTTGAGGCAAGGTTTCTCTGTAACAGGCCCATCGGTCCTGAGACTCACGCTGTAGACCAGGCTGGCCTCGAACTCACAGAGATCCGCCTGCCTCTGCCTCCCGAGTGCTGGGACTAAAGGCGTGCGCCACCAACGCCCGGCAGGTTGCACGTCTTTAATTCCATCACTTTGGAGGCAGCGGCAGTTGGATCTCTGTGAGTTCAAGGCCAGCCTGGTCTACAGAACCTACAAAGCTAGGACAACGTAGAGAAACCCTGTCTCAAAAAACCAAAGCAAACTAAAACAAACAATCAAAGAATGGCAAGAACTGAAAATCTAATACAAGCTGATTTAGAGAATTTAGCAACATATAACCAGGCTTTAAGTTCCCAGAAGTCATGCTTGGTACTGTTTTCACTGCCGTGGGACCTGATGGTACTGTTAACAATTGTCAGTGTCTGCACTTTACATAAAATGCCAATGCCTAAATTTGAGGGGAAGTAAGAATCAGCACTGTCAGCAGTCAGTCTTGCTTCTGCCATAACCTCACTGTTACGACACTGAAAAACATCATTAAGTATTTGTGATTCTCAGCTTGCCAATCTATAAAACATGGAAGTTCTGGGGCAGGGACTGTGGTTCAGTGGTAGGGTAATTGCCAGGGCTTGATTTCAGTACCAAAACAAAAACAGCCAACCAGAAAAACAAACAAAAGAAAAGGAAGAACAGTTTGCCTCTTCTTTTTTAGACCAGGCTGACCTGGAATTCACAGAGATCTGCTGCCTCTGCCTCCCGAGTGCTGGGACTAAAGGCATGTGCCACCAAATGCCCTGCCTACATTTTGCCTTTTAAACATGCATGAAAAAGAGAAAATACATAAATGAAAATACAAGTACTGATTAATAAGTGGTTTTTGTGGAATAAAGTGCACCAGTATGGCTAGTTAATTTTAACATAGTTGGATAGAAGGCTGAATGGAGTTATTGATTCAAACAGCACCCTCATATTTTAAAAAATGAGATATTATCTTTCCTGCTCAGTTCCATGGCTTTCTTGGCCATCATCATTCAGTGGAATACATCACATGGTAAATAAAGAAGGAATTGTTTTCTGACCTCACCTAGTGAGATCCAGTTGAAATAGTTATGAATGGTTTAGGTGACAAATGTGACAATAGACTTTGCTGTATAGATCCAGAGTCCTTGATGATGTTGACTTCTGACTCTCTGAAAAAAAGCCAGGCCTATATCAAGTAAGGCAGTAGAAGAATTACCAACTGATTTTTAAAAAGCAATGGCAAACTTCGGCTGGACACACATTATAGATATGAGTACCTCTGAATACAAAAGTTCTATGCCAATGCATAGTAGATAAATTTATGAGCCACCATGTGGTTGCTGGGAATTGAACTCAGGACCTCTGGAAGAGCAGCCAGTGCTCTTAACCTCTGAGCCATCTCTGCAGCAAACAGTAGATAAATTTGTAATGAGGATCACTTGAAGTAAAAAACAACAACTTAATTTCAGTTTTAGGATATGCTCAATATATACTTAGTGTTAACAAATATGCTAGTGATTTTTAAATAGCCTTTAGGACCATTTATTTAAAAACATTGATCCACAGTCAGTTATCTCACCGGGGAAAGTATAGTAAATGGTCAGGAAACAGCATAGTTGTAGAATTGCAGGAATGTTGGATCATTCAAGGCAGCATTTTAACAGGAGGTTTTTGCAAGAGATAAACATCTGCTTAGATGCTTTGATTTGGTATTATGGTCTTTAAGAAAGGAAATGTTGAACCATACTTGCATAAATAAAGGGGCCAGGACCATGGCTGTCACTGTGGAGGGAGACAGTTCAGAAAACAGAAGCTGGGATATGAGAGCGTGGATCACTAATCCTAGTCCTTGGGAGTCTGACACAGGAGGGTCTTAAGTTTGAAGCCAGCCTGAGCTACAGAGCAACTTTATGATCGAATCCTGGCTATAAAGTGAGAACTTTTCTCAAAAACTCTCAAATGCTGGGCGGTGGTGGCACACGCCTTTAATCCCAGAACTCAGGAGGCAGAGGCAGGCAGATCTCTGTGAGTTCGAGGCCGGGCTGGTCTAAATACAGAGCAAGTTCCAGGACAGCCTCCAAACAATACAGAGAAACCCTGTCTCGAAAAACAAAACAAAACCTCTTTAATACACACACACACACACACACACACACACACACACACACACACACACACACACGTTTGTAGATACACATAAAATCCATGTTCACTCAAAATGAACAACAAATTAAAATTTCAGGAGGTTCAGCCTAGCATTTGTTGTCACGTCGAAAAGCTAGCACTGTCTTCGTT